TGTGGCCTGTCTTCAAGGAGCAGCTGTGCCGGCGGACGTTCCTCTCCTGCACTGCTCAGGCTCATGCCTGGTGCCAGGAGATCTGCCGGGACCGGGGGCAACTGCTGCAACTCTTTGGCAGGTGAGGTGTCTCCTGGCTGTGCTGTCACAGGTGTCCCAGGGCCCCAGAGAGTGTTGCTTGCAGCTCTCGAGGGGACTGTAGGGCTAGGAAGGGAGCAGCTGGGTGTCCTGCCTGGACAGGGAAGAGTCCTCGCTCCTTCCTGGCCTCCAGTGCTCCCAGAGGGCCAGGGCCACTTGGGGTGCCCCAGATTTAAGCTGGCTGTGTGGGCTCAGTTAGCCCACCAGAGAAGGGTGCTGGTCCCCCGCAGGAGCTGGCACATCCTGACATGGCAGAGGTCGGCCAGGCACAGCAAGATCTCGTGGCCACAGGCACTGCACAACCCCCAGCTTGGCCCAAGGGCCACAGTGGGCAGGTCCTAGGGGCAGCAAGGGGCCCTGGCTGCTGGGGGCGAGTGGGGCCATGAGCCGTCATGGCTGGCAAGGGGCAGAGCAGGGAGCAACCATGGTGCTCTGCTCTCCCACGGGAGCTCTCCCAGCCATTGGCACCGTGTGATGCCTGGTCGCTGTTGCAGACTGAACCGGGCGCTGCAGCACGAGCAGGGCTTCGCTGACCGCTTCCTTCCTGATGATGAGGCAGCCCGGGCATTGGGCAGGACGTGCTGGGAGGCCCTGGTGAACCCCTTGGTGCAGAGCATCACTAGCCCAGGTACCCTGCGCTCTCTGGGGCCCCTCCGTGCTGTGCCCCGTGCAGAGGCAGCTGACTCTGAGTCTGGTTGGCCTCACAGGCCCTGATGGCGTCAGCCCCTTGGCCTGGCTGCTGAGGGAGTACCTGGAGAGCGTGGAGCCGCCCTGCCGTGCCAGGGGACACAGGGCTGCCTTTGGTTCCTGTGTGCGGCGCCTGACCCAGCTCCTGGTGCACGTGGACCCTGGTGGCCCAGAGCCAGAGGAGACAAGAGCAGCTGGTGAGTGAGGCAATGCCCTCCCGTGGGGCTGGGCTGATGGTGGTCCAGGATGTCAGGCTGTGGCCATGGGGCTCATCTGGGGAGGGCCCTGTGGCAAAGGAGGCTCCTGAACCAGGAAGGGCTTGTGGTCATACCCATGCCTGCCCAGCGTCCCCTCTGCCCTTCTGGGGTCGGTCAGTGTGTGGGACCTGCCCACGGAGCCATGCTGACCCCGGGGTTCACCCTTGGCAGGTGGGAAGGCAGGGAAGAACAAGGAGGTGCCAGCCAGGGCTGCGAAGGCAGTGGTGGAGAAGTCGAGCAGCCTGTGGGGAATCTCGCAGTGCTGGCGTGGCGTGGTGCAGCAGCAGGTAGAGCTTGGAGGGCTGGCCGGGAGGGGTGTGTGGGACCCACGCTGGGTGGGTGGAGCAGGGAGTGAGGCCTGGCAGTGCCCTGGGAGTGTGGGGAGGGCACAGGGCTATACTAGGCCTCCACAGAGCCCAGAGCGATGTGGGGACAGCTCTGCTGCACTTGCCACCCTGGCACGGCTCAGGTGTCAGCCAGGCCCTGCACCCAGGGGGATGCTGCCAGGCCAAGAGAAAGGTACAGTGTCAGGCCCCTGATTTCCTGCAGGGCTGCTGCTGTGCCTCTGTCATTCCCTCACAGACCCTGTCCAGCCCTCTCCACGAGCTCTCAGCAGCCTGCAGCAGCAACAGGGGCCCGAGCTGGCCCCTGGCTGGGACCCGGGCAGTCAGTGTTGGCAGAGCAAGGCTGGGGCTGCAGACGTTCCCACGGGCACATCCCGCTGCGGGCTCACCTCTTTCGCTCTGTGTCCCACAGGTGCAGCAATTCCTGGAGGCAGCAGGGCAGGTACCAGACCTTGCAGAGCAATACTGCAGGCTGTACCAGCGCCTGCGCGGTGCCACAGAGGAGCTCTTTGGGCAGCAGGCGGCCTTCATGCTGGCCCTGGGCCAGGGCTTTGCGGGGGCTTTGCTGCAGCTCTCCTTCCTGACTGCCCTGCACGTGAGTTAAGGGAGTGTGGCACTGGTGTCGTGGCCCCGGGGGGGCACAGGCTGGGGAGCTGCCCTGGCCCATGGCCTTGGGGTGAGCTCTGGGTGGGTGGTGTGCTCGTCCCCACCGAGCCACAGAGCCCTGTCCTGTGGCAGCCCGAGATGGTCCCCAGCTGTGGGTGTGGCACCTATCACAGTGTGGGCCTGGCCCCGGCACACTCGTGCCTTGGACTGGTGCCTGGGCACCCTCAGCCCCTGCCTGAGAGTGCCAGAGTTTCCCAGCTGCTCCCGCAAGGGACATTCCCCCAGCCCTGCACTGTGGCCACCCTGTGAGTGCCCTCCACAGCCAGCCCTGTTCCTCACAGGTGAGCGAGCAGTTTGCCCGCTACCTTGATGTGCAGATCCAGGAGCTGCGCAGGGCAGCGCAGGGCAGCACAGGGCCGCTGGAGCGGCTGCAGCAGTTCTTGGAGCCCTTTGTCGTCTTCAGTGGCCTGGAGCTCGCCCACACCTTTGAGCACTTCTACAGGTGAGGGTGCTGTGTCTCCATGGACTCCATGGAA